CAAATCAGGATATGTTTATGGGATAGACTATGGCTAGAAGGGAGCAAAGCAATAAATCATGCAGAGATGCAGCAGGAAGAGTATTTCAGATCAGCACAAGTCACTAAATTATAATGTCACAATTTTTATTGCTTTACAAGAAAAGGTAACACAATTAATAAATATGCGAACTGAGCATGAAACAAAATCTGCTTCTAAATGTCAATTTAAAATAAGGAAAGGCAAAATTTGTTTGTGGATTAGAAACCAAGTAGAAAGCCACAAAAGGAAAAAAAGAAAAGAAAAGGCCTAGATCAACGGTTTTTCAGCGCTCACAAATTCTAAAGTAAGTTCTCAGGAATGATTAATTCATGGGGCTCATATTTAAGGGCCCAAATTTTAAATAATAAAATAATGCAGGAATTGACTATTTGTTATTATAAGACTATGCAACATGTTAAATTGCATAGTATTATAATAACAAGTCACCCCACAGTGAGATGGGCGGTGACAAATTTGAAATATAAATAAATAAATAGACAAACAAATAAATAAATAAATATCATATTTAATTCTGAAGCAGCATTCAGTGCCAGATAATATTGCCAACTATACTATATACACAACATTTAAACACAGTAAGAGTTACAGCATACTATACATATTCACAACAGCTGAAAAAAAAATACATTTCACATACACACTATTATACTTCAGTTTTATTCTAAAGACAAAATTGATGATTGCTAATTAAAACTTACCCCAGAATAAGTGAGCCAGTTAACTTCGCAATTTTTCCTTAAAAATTAAAAACTTAGTATCACTGCATATGCAAAATGGATGTTTTTAGTATAAACATTACATCAGTAATGACAAGTTATATACAGAGGTATCTTTAGTTAGTTTATACTTAGGGTAAAAGGACTTAGTTTATATTAAAATCAATACGGGAGTCCATTTAATTTCTAATTTAAGTATTATTTATTTATTTATTTATTAACATATTTTATGCCAACACAATCAAAAAAGATTCTTGGTGGCTCACAAAAAAAAATAATGAAATATAAAAAAGCCCCATGCAAAAATAAAAACACAACAATGCTATAATAATACGAAGAGAAGAAAAAGATGGTAACATCAAATCAAAGCAAATCAGGGAAAGGCTCTACAAAAGAGTTGAGTCCTTAACAGCTTGAGGAAAATCAGCAAAGAGGGAACCAGCCTGATATCCATAATGCCCGTGCTGCAACAGAAAAGCAGCGTCTCCTTGCCTCAGTCCCCCCCAACTTCCTGAAAATGTGGGATGTACAACAGTTTCTCTGCTATAGCTAGTTGATTGGGCCGAAGCTGGCTGGAGAAGGCAGACCCGAAGGTATCCAGGTGCCAAGCCATGAAGGGCTTTATAGATCAAAACCAGCACCTTAAACTGGACCCCAAAATCAACTGGTAACCAATGTAGGGTCCACAAAACCATAGTTATGTGCTCCCAATGTTGAGAGCCTGAAAGGATACAGTTTTTGAATATTCTTTAATGACAGCCTCAAATAGAGTGCTAGATAGGCAGCATAGTCTAGGTAGACTAAGTGGTGCTAAGATGATGAGTTACTCTTATCAAGCCTTTCTGCCTCAGGTAAGGTCACAACTAATAAATTTAGTAGTAATTTAATTAACTAATTCCTTCTCAAGGTTATGCAAAGCTAAGTCCCACTTTGTTCTATGGAGCAAGTTGCAATTCTGTGAATATAGGTCCAACCACTTAAAACAGGCACAAGAAATATTTTCTAGTTGGGAGTATACCCACCCAACTTGATGGGATTATTTCTGAGAAACATGCTTCAGATCAGAACACTCAGTTTGGTAAACTAACCTGGCAACAAAGCTCGAGTTGTGAATTTAGTAGAATTTACTTCTGAATAAACTTGTACAAGATTAGATTCACAACACTGGTTTGCTTCCATTAGCAGAAACTGATCCTTTTATGTATGTATGATCCTCCTACCATCATCCTGAAAAGTTTTAAATTATGGAATACTTATCACTGGGTTCATAAAATATTCTTATTCTAAACAGATTCCATCACTGGAAATTATAGTCTCATCAATACAACTTGATCTGAAAATCAAATTAACTTAATTCTTACAGATGACCTAATGAACATTGTTCAAATTTTTCTCAGACGGTTATTATTTAATATTATGTGCTGGGAATGTAAGCATGTTCAATATTGCATTTAGAAAAATATTTAATCCATTCTTAAATATGGCTTAAATACTTATGATTTAGAACAATGTAACTAAGGTCCTGCTCAAAGACCAAATTTCTATCATGGGTGAATGTACAATGTACAATACAATGAATATGACAATGAAATAGTTTTTATGTTTATATTTCCAATGGTGCTTATATTTCCTTTTACAGAAAATAGAAAAACATTCCATAAATCAAAAGTTCCTCAGCAATCCTATGGAATGGTGATAAATATTTCTCCAAAGGCTGCTATCCTAACTATCTCTAGGGAAGAATATAATTTCCACCCGTTATGGACTTTTTGCATAAAAAAGAAAATGAATGTATGGTTTATGGTTTTGATGATTAAACAGGCTAGAATATAGAAAGAAGAGAGTGATGATGTAACTTTAGAGAGAGAGGTTAAAATATAATTGTACTTATAGATGCTTGAAGAAGATCAGAAGCAACTGCTTTATATCTTTCTTTATATTGTACCTTTTTTCTTTTTTTCTTTTTTTCTACTTTTCTTCAACTTTTTTCTTTTTGCACTTTTAGCTTTTTCTTCTATTTCTCCCTTTCTCTTTCTTCTTTTTTGTTCTATTTTAGTTTGTATTAGTTCTTATTGTTGTTAAAACTCAAATATATATATATATATGTATTCCCCCCTGCCCCCCCAGATAGGCAAAGAA